GATTTTGTATCAGCAGTATACTTGTACCTGATGGTTGCACAGCTGCTATTGAATTTGTCATAAAAAATGCCAACATACAAATGAATCACATCATGGCTGTGACAAACTCCTCAGCCACAGACTTGTAGCCCTTGTACAGCACTACACCCCCTGGAGGGGCATGTGGAGCTGAGTGAGTGAGTGAGTGAGTGAGTGAGTGAGTGAGTGAGTGAGTGAGTGAGTGAGTGAGTGAGTGAGTGAGTGAGTGAGTACAGCTTTGGAATTCATCAATCCTTGGTCACAAGCTGGTGTTTACACAAGTAGTTTGCATTTTCATATCATATCATATCATATTCATATCAGATTCTATGTTTTTATTCAATTGACATATTACTGTACAAACCTCCATCTACATGTACATGGAACAATTTGATACCAGTTACTATATAAGTGTAATGCTTGCAAATGATGATTGCGATGTTTTCTCCTGATAGAATGTGATGTTTGGAACTGAGCTCCATCCTTTAATCATCAAATCTCTGCAGTCCTTTAAGTTTATTGGAGATTGGAGATAAATCATGACAGAAGCAATGTTCTGGTTTCTTTAAGTCTTCAGCTGCATCTCTTTTGTTTGGAGGCTTTTCTTGATACTTGAAGTGAAAAAATGTAAATATTGCTCATGATATGCATTTTTGTCACATCTCTATCAAAAAGTGACCCTGGCAGATTCCACAAACTTGTGTTGGACCAAAAGTCTTCACTTTAAACATATAACTACCAACACAGATGAACTTTCATGATAATACTATAATATAGTATCTGTGCCAGGCACATCCTGCATGGCCCTGGGTACCAGTTTGATCCTCCCTTGGAAGGAAGATTTAACAGTTACATGTGTCTACATTGGGTAAATCGTCTTGTGGCAAAACTTCCATCCAGGACATGTCTTTGCTCAAAAGTTCCGTTGAGGATATGTCTTTGGGCAAAAGTTCCACCAAACAAAACATTAGGTTACCCAGAAACTAATTTGAAATGCTTACTGTATACATACAGATAAATTGTAAAACCCATATTATGTACTATACTTCTAACTGCAGATATACCCCATAAAAAGACTGTCTGACCTGGACCAGAGCTGACAAGAATTTTTCATGCTACAGTAACTGATGCTTTCAGGTTACTACTTTGAATTCAGTGATTGATCAACAGTCCCACAGTCCTTAATGAAGGTACAAATAGTAGTACAAGGCTCCCATTGGCCTGTTGCAGAATGAATTCTATCATTGAAGCCAAGTTGTCTGCTCCTTTTTCTTTTGCACCTGAAAGTACATTGTAGGAGCTCATGGTTTTCTGGATCTTTGGTTTCTACCTATTTTCTGCCAGGCAACAAGCTCTTCTGGGTCAGATCAGGTAGATTCTTCCACTCAAGATGATGTGCCGGTAAGTTTTTCAACATCAAGCTAAGACTGGAGCATAACTTCTTGTCATTTAAGGTGTTTTAAACATGCAGAACAGAGTCATCTTCCACATGAAATAATTTGTTAAGGTTGTACACAAGGGTGCCTAAAACACAAACAATGTATTGTGACAGCTGCAGCTTTATACATTGTACCTGTGTCTAGCACAGTTTTTAATCCCTTTTTTTATCCAATGCCTGACTTGTGCAGTTCTGTGCAGACCGTGTTTTGAACAATAGACTACATCCCTTCCATTGTGCACATACATTGTATTGCCTGATGTACCGCATAGCAGGAATACATGTGTAGCTGCAGGCCAATATCAGATCAAATGATGAAGCAGACCCCATATAGATTAAATCATACATTGATGATTATTTGACTGAAATTCATTCTGCAAATTGATCTACTGTGTATATTTTCTTGTAGAAATCACTCTTTTGCATGCCCGTCAGCAGGATTTTGTTCTTCTGTACAAAATGTAGGTTTTGGTGGACAAGTGTACACACTGCAGAAGACACAAGTTTTCTTGGTGTACAGCAAAATAGAACAAAATGGAGAGAATGGAATGAAATGGAACAGAATATGAAGCAAAAAAGTAGATCGCAAATACTACCACAAAACATAAAGGGTACTTAGCTACATTGTAAACATAGAAATAGCTGCTCTGAGTATACTAAGGCTGACTTTAGACTCAGACAACGGTTAAATAGTCGTACGAATGTTTATCGTCAAGATGTTGCCGGCGATGGTATTTTACCACCGTCTAAAGACGATCAAAATAGTCGCACGACGGCAATCCTTAAATCGTTGTCACTCGGACCCTATCGTGCGATCCTTCAGCGGGGTGTCCGAGACGGATTTTCCACCGTCTAAAGTGAACTGTCGCCGGCGAAGGAAGTGGGAGGTCATTGGCCTTATGCAAATAAGCCTGCAATCGTTATTTCATGTCCAAGCACATCGCCTGTATCATTAAATGTCGTCAAACCCAAGACTTAATATCGTCATATGTGAGTAGTACAATCCCCTGCCACCAATCGCTACTTCTCCAGTACGAACTGATCCGTCGATCCACATTTCCCGGCCCCGCATGTGCCTCATACCCCTTCTTTGCTGGGCACAAACTCGGCGTCTCATCCCCAGGACAACACGAGTTAAAAGCAGAATAAAAACAGTCTGCTGCAGCATGCCGAAAAAAGGGGTTCTCTCGCCATTTTGAATTGGTGCGCGGCTCGCTATCCTGCGCTGTGGGTGTCCGCCACACTTACTGGTCATGTGTCTAAAGCCAGTCGTCTCCCACAACGAATGTCGTGCGATCATATACCGCCATCAGTCTAAAGTTGGCCTAAGACTGACGATGGTACATAGTCGCACGGTAATCGTTGTGGGTGAGGCTTTCTTTACACACATGACACGAAAGCGTGGCAGACGCCTGCAGCGCAGGATAGCACGCCGCGTAAATTCAAAATGGCGAGGGAACCCCCTTGTTTTTGTCATAATGCAGCAGATTGTTCTTTTTCTGCTTTTTATATAATAACTTGTGTTGCCGAGTTCGTGTCTAATAACGGGCTATGACTATGAGGTGCATATACGTATACTGAGATGGGAAATACCTAGGTTTGAGCACAGCGTTCGGTGCTGCCGCCGGAAGGCTGAAGCGAGAAGAAGTGATTGGTGGTAGGGGATCGCACCCAGCAAGTTTGACGACATTCAATGGTATACTAGTACTGTAGGTGATGTTTTTGAACAGAAAATATCGCTTGCAGGCTAATTTGCATATGATCAGTGACATCTTACTTCCTTCGCCAGCGACGATTCGCTTTAGACGGAAGAAAATCCGACTCGGACCCCCCGCTGAAGAATCGCAAGATAGGGTTCGAGGTGTTAGTGACGACGATTCGAGGATTACCGTCGTGTGACTATTTTGATCGTCTTTAGACGGTGTTAAAATACTGTTGCCGGCAACATCTTGACGATAAACATTTGCACTACTATTTAACCGTCGTCAGTCTAAAGTGTGCCTAAATAAGTGGGTGCTTGCTCTCTATTCGGTTTAGCATCTTTTGTTCCCCATCTTGTAATGGTTAGATGTGCTTGCACAACAATACTGCGACTTGATGGCTGTCTTGTGGCTTAACATTATGTAGGTTCAAGTGATGAAGTCCTCACTTACACTGTCAATCCATGACTTCTTTGGTTGACCACATGGCCGGGGATGGGTTTTGGCCTTCCACATTCAGTGTAAATGTAATCTATGTATATATGGTCTTCCTAAGCTACTTCTCACTATCCATTCTTTGGAGGTGGCCATACTACCTTAGTCTCACTGTATCCTGAGTGCTATGGACTCCCAGTCTTGTTCTTGGGACTGTACAATATTTTGCCAGGGGGAAGGACCGGTTGTCCAGTCTTGTGGTTAAAATTTTCTCCTAGGCCCTCCCCCTGGTCCCAAAAATTTTCCTAGGCCCTCCCCCTGGCTCAAATTTTTTTCCCTTTGCTGTGGTGAACAATTTTCTTCCTAACGTTGTCTAGCACTGAAGGCAATTATTTTATGGTTGTTTAGTAGGATGTGGGGAGACCACTTTTACACCTCTTGCATTTGAATTTGGTGTTTAACTTCAAGCTACCTTTGATGAAATCTCCAAGCAGATCCTAGGGTGGTATAAGACTGCTGTTGTGCAGTCCTTATCCAGAATACGCTCTGAAGCACTTCCTGGATGTCCTGACACGTCACGAGCAAGAGTTCATGTCCCTGATATCCAGGATGTGTTTCAGTGGAGGGTGTTTAATATCCAGAATGTGCATTTTGGGGAGAAGCTTCATGTTTTTGGAGGCAGATAGTATCTTGCATGTGAATTTTGGGGTTTGTTCTCCCTGTGCGGAGTTTGTGTAAAGTTAATGCAGCCTCTGGTTTTTATAACAAATCTATACAAGGATAGCGACATTTTGTTCTGCACACGTCACATAAAAAAAGTTACTGTCCAAGAATGTTAATTGGGTCATGATATGTACATGTATCAAATGCAAGTCATAACAGGCTCCATTGGCAACATCACAAGTACTCTCATCTGCCGAATAAACATACCCCCCGGAATAAACGTACCCCCCCCGGACAAATCTTCAAAATCAAATAAACATACCCCCAGAATAAACGTACCCCCCCGGAAAATTACTAAAATTGACGGGTAACCTGTGTCTCTTGTACTAAAATGCACCCTTACTGATATATGCACAAATCTTTAACTGTTATTTGCAATTAGGAATTTAAATAGAAAAAAAAAAGAGCATTTAATATTTTGTATTTTGATAAGCACCACCCATGACAATAGAACATTCAGACGAATTTATGCACGCGGTGATTGCAAAAACCGGCCCGAAAATGACAAGTTTCTCGCTACAATATGCGTTTATAAACGTCTTCACGTCGATGATTTGTCAATTTTTTTCACACGAAGTTGAAAAAAATTACTGGTTTTCAAAAAATTAATAAACGTACTGTGCAAAATAAAAACGTACTGGGTGGATGTTTGGGCCAAAAAAATAAACGTACCCGTATGTTTATTTGGCAGATGAGAGTAAAATAATAGATCTGGACACGCATTTGCTCTATCCAAGACTAGCAGGTTGAAAGAATGCATCTTAGGCCCGGTCTACACAGGGCAAAAATATCATTTGGCCTGCGTCGAAGGACGTGTGCGCTGCGCATTTTGTGTGACAGACACATTATTTTAGCGTTGTTAGACGCAAGTCAAATGATATTTTGTCCCGTGTAAACCGGGCCTTAGATAACGCAACTGCTCTATCCAGAAGTCGCCCCAGTTTCAAAGAGTGCATCCTGGATAAGTACTAATGCTCTATTCAAAAGTCGTTGAATGCTAAAAGAGCACAGCCCTGACATCAGTGCATGCATTAATTTTTGCCTGATTTTGGAAAAAAAAACTTTGAAATTTTGTTGCCTCTGACAGTGGTCAACATGCCAAAAATGGGCAAAGATGTTCGAATATCAGAACGTGGATGGACGATAAACATGTAGAGAGGAAACAAGAAAAGGCTCTTATTTATTGTTTTGTCTTTTACTACTAGATGTACTAGATTGATTCAGTGTATTACATTCCTTTTATATGTGATGGTTGTGTATATGTGATGTTCCCACTGAATCATAACTATTTGCATAATATTAAAAACTTGTTTTTCAAACCTTTTTCAGTGACAAATGGATGTTTTAATACTGGCATCAAACTTAAAGTACAATATATGTAACAAAAATTTCTTGTTCAACAAGGTTTATGATGTCAAAATTGGAAAATGTAGGAATCTTCTTTTTTTTGGGGCCTGCATATCCCCCAATTGAGTCTGTGGAGGATGTCATCCATAAAATTTACATGCTGTACAGCGTAAGGCCCAATTTATACGCGTTTTTTTTGCGACAGTGTCGGGACGCCGCTGTCGGGATGTCTTTATACACACAGCCCGGAAGTCCCTGAGTAACACCTCCAACTCGTCAAGTTTGTTGACCCCTGCTGCTATACGGCTGTTGTTTTCCTGGTGTTTCTGTATGCAAGACGCAGATCACAGACTTTCCTTCTGATCTGATCAAGTTTGCGGAGCTCAGGTTACCATAAAACTTGGTGGGCAATTTATAGGGCTTATATTAGAGATAAGACGCATAACAACAAATATGGCGAGTCTTCTTGGTGAAATATGGAAATTTGCATATACACATGTAACCCCTGACCTAGATTTGTTCCCGCTTACCTGACGACTAGCTAAAGTGTGTGAAGGCTTCATCACCAAGTGGACCCTATCAGACATCATCCCAAATATAGCTACCAGAAAATTCAGCACATTTTCTGGAGGATATCCCCCAATTCTGCCTCGAACCGGAGAGGAACACTTAGCAACATTATCCTTACAGATTTTGACCAAGTCTAGCACACAACTGCAATAGCATTAGGTTGCAGACCCTGATTCATCCCTTGGATATGCGACTTCCTTACTGATCATGAGTCGAGCTAACACCAGGGTTCATATTCTGTATAAGGGATACCTACGGTCTGCCACAAGGTACTGTTCTGACACCTATTATTTTTGAAGTCATGATCAACAGCTCCGCCAATGATACCCCACTGAACAATGGGAAATTTGTAGTCGATCTTACTACGATTGAAGTGCATGAGGAAACTCATTCCTACAACATGACCTCAATGCCCTGGAGCAGTGAACAATGAGCAGTCATTTTAAAACTGCGAAAATGCAATTGCCAGGCTATTCAATGACTTGTACAAAATGTATATTTCACAAAAATCCCCCTCCCCTCCCCTCAGAGGCATGCTGCCACACTTCAGGAAAGACATCAGCAATCTGTACAATTGCAAGCATTAAATGAAACCAATTTTGTTCAAAACATCTTTGTTTGTGTCAGAATCCAATTCTACAGTTCTATAGGCACTAGTCAAGTATTGCCAAACTGCCTCTGAAGTCACTAAGCACCCTTCTGTACTACCTTGAAGACATATAGTATGTATGTAAGAAAATCTGATACACATGTATTTGTCATTGATTGGCCACACGCATATTATATAAGTCTACATTCATTTTGATTCTCACACCATTTTTCACACCAATGTGACAAGGCAAAAAAAATTCTATGGCAGACAACCAACTCATTCTTGTACTACTGTAGTACAATTACTGTAGACAATTGAATTTCATTGAAAATTATTAAAAATTACATAGTTAAACTAGATTTTGTTGTATAATATGTGAATCGACAATGATATGAACTGATGTGAAATGAAAAGATAAAAAACTGAAAGTTACATGTAGAATTTTCATCAGTCAGTGACTGTTTGTAAGCTAGAAAACATGCACCAAATTTTTGATGTCTACTGTACATCTTGATCACCGAGTGACCTAATATTATAAAATAAGTCTCACGAAAACATGAGACTAGGTTGAGACTTGAGCAGGTCTTCTGGCCACCCCCGCCTCCTATAGAACTTGCAATTGGGCAGCTCCCAACCTTAGTTGCATCTGGGCATGTCCCAAATGGATGTGGACTGCTTCCTTGATCTTTCTATAAGTATGACCTGGCGTGATTCCTCGTCAATGATCTAAGTGATGTCCATAATAGGGCAATTAGTAACGTTATGGCCCACTTTGAGTTCATGTTGGTTAAGCGCCAATTTACCGTCCTGATGATCTGTAGACTTTTGGTGTTCATCAGTCCGTTCCCCCCCCCCAGGGATCTTTTGGTTTCACCTACATACACCTCACCACACTGTTCACACGATATTTTATAAATGATACCACACTTCTCACTGGATATTTATGGGAATGAAGGTTGGGAGCTTAGTCCTATTTACCCCTACTCCACAAGGAAGGTGGGAAGGGCCAGAAGACCTGCTCAAGTCTGGACCTAGTCTCATGTTCTCGTGAGACTAGGTCACTCGGTGATCAAGATGTAAGACATTAAAAATTTGGAGGTATGTGTTTTCTACCTTACAAAACAGTCACCGATTGATAGATATACTAACTGTTAGTCCTACGTGACTGATGAACCTCATTTTACTGCATTGTTAAATTTACCACAGAGTACTTCCATTACTAAAAGTCATCCAATGAAAATTAATAAAATGGAGACTGCAAATTTACTGCATGGGGCCTGTGGTTTCATTTGGGAAACTTATAAAATATAATAATGTACACCATGTAGAAGAGGACAATTCTGAGAACCAATTCATTTAATTGGTGTGGCCTAAAACTAAAAAAAATGTAATGAGACAAATTCATCAGTCTGCATTACATGCATAAAAAAGCTAACTTCATTGTTAACAGTAACTGTTCTGGCTAACATTAAAACACAACCATATGTGATTCACTTAACAATGTTAACTAGTTCATGAGTACAGACAAACAGGAAGCACCAGAAAAATCATCATTATAGAATTATAAGAATTAGAAGATATTCTATTTAGGACAATTACACCAGCATGATTAAAATTCTGTCTTTATTTTGCCGTTTCTGTGTCAAACCTACTACATGTGTGCCATGTTTCTGTGCTGCACATTCAGCAATGTAAAGTTATTATAAGTTGTTGAATTGTCTCCCTCTGTTAATGTTGTAAAATGTTTCCCAGTTATTCCTTATGAAAATATAACCTTCAGGTGACACTTTCCTTTTTGTGCATCATTTTAATGATTAATAAATGTTAAATGTTATTTAAAAATATGATGTATTTCAAGCAACACTAATGTACAAGTACTTTGGGATCTGAAATTCTGCTGGTTGCTGACTCAGTGGCACAGAAAACTTCATATATTGTATATAGAAATCTATTATAAGTAACAGATTGACTTGTTGAATCTATCAAAAAGTGATCAAATTTGTCTTGTACAGACTGAAGAGAAACATACGTGTACATGACTGTAAATTCCTGGGAAATTTCCATTGATTATTATAGTTGATTTGTTCAGTATAATATAAAATATGTTTTCTGTTGCAATAAGTAATTGTGATGACCTACATGTACATATACTGGTACTCATTCCTTGTGCTTGAAATGTTCAATCCTAGACTCATAATATTGGCTTCACATGTGTTGTTAGTAGTGATATACAATGAGCATAATTTCATCCACATGACTTATCTGTAATAAGGACACATAGTAAACCTTTTCCATGGGCCATAAATCATAATTCATATATATACATGTATTGGCCAATTCCACTTTTACTTACAAGACTTACTATGATAATAATTCATATCTTCACCGGCATATTCCCATCATTCTTTCATATTTTTATTCTTGTTTGATATTTTTGGTCAGACAAGAACAATCCCATATAATGACCTTGACTTAACTAAAAGCCTTTTGCCCATTTTTCAGTCTGTTCCTCCAGATCTGTCTATCTGCAGGTTCCTGTTGGAGCAGGCAGTTTCTGTTCGAGCTTTACAGGAGCTGGTGACAGCAGAGTCTGTAGAAGACAGTGTAAGGCTTATTCTTCTTACCTTAACAGTCACATCGTAATGCATTATTGTAAATGTATTTCCTCATATTGTTGTCATTTTGCTTAAATATGTGTAAAACAAGCAGCACTTTAATTATGGAAAAACACTTTAATTATGGACTCCTCGCTAATAACTCTGAATTGCTTTACCCAATTAGGTTTATATTTTTTCTGAGTACATAGTAGAAGGTGACAAATATGTGGAGTGTGTTAATTAGTCCCTAGGGTATAGTCCAATTATACATAATTATACATGATTATACTATATTTATCTATAATCATGTATGATTATACATATTAGTTTTTCCATTATACATAATTATGTATATCCCTTTTGATCATTATACATAATTATGTATATCCCTCTTGATCATTATACATAATTATGTATATTCCTCTTGATCATTATACATAATTATGTATATCCTTTTAACCATTATACATAATTATGCATATCCCTTTTAACCATTATATATAACTATGCATATCCATTTTGGTTATTATATATAATTATGCATATTAATTTTTACCATTATACCATATATATGACTTTTGG